CAGGAATTTCAATGCCTTCTCTTACCATAACTTCACACGTCTAGTTGGAATTACATGTTCCTTATTCTCTTCCCACCTCAAATCCAAAGATCTGCAAACAAGCAAAATATTTGACCTTCAATATGCCTTCACAAAATATGAGGACCTGGGAGCTGGTTAGTATTTTCTGGAGGTTTTCTGGAAGAAACCACAAGGTCTGTGTTCTGTCCAACCATTCCATGCAAGGTTAAATGATTTTCAAGAGCCAGAAGACCTCCATCAGGAGATGGGAGCACAGGGGGTGTCCACACAGGATTTCCCTGTATATTTGAATCAACTTGATAACTGAGCCCCAATTCAAAGGCACTACTAAGATGCAGGATGTTTTGCCTCCATGTGGGATTGTGCCACCACAGGAAGGGATAAACATACCCACCACTGCCAGGCTGCCTACAACAGCAAAGATGGATGTTCAGGCATATGAATAGGAGCAGTTTCTAGCTGTCTCAGGGCCAGGGTGAGCCAGTTCACATATGCATGCCAAATATCATGAGGACTGCACAACGCAGAGCAAAGTGCGTTCCCTATCAAGGAACAAGAGATTGTTTCATAGTTTCTTAATTAGTGTCAAATCCACCCTTCCTTCAAAAGTATGCACAAGCAGGGACAACACAGGAGCCAGCAAGAGAAGGAGCAAAGGCTTTTCCTTCATTTATCCTCACATTCAACTGTCCGTTGGCTTCAGTATCAGCAGTTTTGCAATAGGAACACAGCACTTCAAGCTTACACAGGCAGTAAGGCATTGCCTTTGTGGAACTGGCTGGTAGGTCTGTGCAAAGACCAGCTATTTGGGTTACCCTTCTCCTTGCTCAGGTGGATCCAGCTCTGCCAGATGCGAGGGCAGAGGCAACCAGTTCTGTTGCTGGTGACACCAAGCTGATGGTTTGAATCAGCGTAACTCCCAATAGAGCATAACCCCGAATAGAGCATAACCCAAAGTGCAGTTTCTCACCTTGGAACTTTCCCAGATGGACCAGAAAAATATATCATCACTGTGTCCTTCCTGAAAAAGAGATCCAAGCCAATGTTAGGGCACAGGTGGAACGATGCCATTTCTTTAATAGAGGTGCTCAGTAAGGACCGATGCCTGGATGCTAAAGAGGGCCTTGACATTTGCCATGCTAGCACACTGCCACAGGCGAGCAATCGAGCAATCATGTGGCTAGAGGGCTGCAGGACACTCCGCAGGTTGAACGGAGGCTGCAGTGCAGACAAGAGAGTAACACACTTAAGAAGATTGGGCTGGGATTTTCTTTTGCAAGACCAGCATTTAGTTGGAAAGAGGTTCAGTAGAAACTCCATTCCAGCACGAAAAATAAGAAAAAGCTGTATGCAATGACTTCCCTTGAGTTACACCAAGGATAAACTTGGTCTGTTCAACTTACAACCGTAAGAGCTAGGTTTTAAAAATTCTACCCTTTCTCTGTCATCCTGGACCTCTGAAAATACCAAAACCTGTAATTTAAAGGAACACAGAGCTAGAGCTACTTAAATCCACACATTTCCAGTAAACTTAGCTGATTTATAGCAAATTTATGCTAGCTAGTAAAGAATTTCCTGGTTGATATACTGCAGAGCTTAAAAGCAAGTTTAAATTCTGTTAAATAGGAAGAAATATTACACCCTGCAAACCAATTTACAGACCAAGGATAAAATGACCTATTAAAAAAAATACAAAGAGAAAGTCCGTAACATGATAAATTCAAATTTTGTTTCAAACAGAAAACAAAAACGATTAAAATTAATTTTTGTTGACTTTGATTAGCCAACAATTAAGCTGTAAAACAGTATCCATTTAAAAAGTCAGCATCTAAAGAGACAACATATTTGTTTTTGTAACAGCTCTCATGCATTGATACCTGACATGCAGTTCAGTAGCGTTTTGACACGCGACGACTTCCTTTGCCAAAATGAGAACAGCATTCAAGGGAAGATCGTTGTTGCTCAGACTGTGAACATGAAGAAGAACACAACCTCAGCTGCTGGACCCAACAGCACACTCTTTTGTTACGCAAATGCCCTCTGCTCCGCACCCAAACACCCTGAAGCACACTGTCATGGTTTAACCCCAGCCGGC